ATGGGGGAAGTTCCCATCAGGCAACAACGGTTCGCTCCTTACATGTGGATCATACCGAACTTTGCGCATTGCCCTGAGGATACTAATGATGATGTGATCCAGACGTATGCTCGCGTGTACATTTGGTATGTCGTCTCTAAGACTCTTTGCTGATGGTGGTGGCAGGACCGCTCAATGGATGTCGATCAAGGCGTTGATTGTCTTCGACAACAAATTTAGCTGGGGTTCGGCGGCACTGGCCTACTTGTACCGGCAGGTAATCAATTGTCATTTTAAGTTTATTTGTACATTACCAATGCAAACTTTCCCTTAACTACCATGTTTGCCTTTACGTGTAGTTGAACGATGCTTGTTGTAGGTTCTCATGCATCGCTTTGATTTTTCATGCATGTCATCTGCATAATGTGAACTTGTGTTTAAGCAATTACCCCCACTATCATGGGAAACATACACTGTTTGTGTGTTTTTTGATTTTGATCTACATCATGGCAATTTTTCTACAAGTTATGTCTCTCTACATTTTTGCATCAATTTTTACTATGAACAATATTTTCTTGGTAATGTAATAAACGTTGACATTTTTTGTATATACATGTCAACTAAATTTTCTACACTACATAAAAGAAATTTGTATATATTTTTTGTTTTTGCATAGTTTTTGACATTTTTTATTTTTTTTCCTACAAATGGAATTGTGTTGGGCCAGAAAGCCTAGCTAAAGGGGTGGTGTTCAGGCGAGGTGTTTCCAGGAGAGTCCCTGTGTGCCGCCCATGTGCGTCAAAAGGAACCAGCTTGCTGAAGCCAGAACGCTTGGGCCGGCCCACTATGCTCCCAATTGTTTTCTTTTATTTTTTTACTTTGAAGTATAGAGCCGACACTGTAGCAATCGGCACTGTAGCGTCCGGTTCACAATAGCTCTCACTATTTGCTCGGTTCTTATTTCAGAAATTTAGAAAATGCTAATATAAACAATGAAATTTTTTCATATACACTTTAACTATTTTGTAATGTACTTTGAACAATTCTCGAATACGCATTGAACATTTTTGTAAGGTACGTTGACAATTCGTGAATACACATTGAAACATTTAGTGTAATATATGTTGAACAAAAATGAAATACATAATGGAAATTTTTAGTATTTTGTTGAACAAATTTGTAGCAAGAGGAGAGGGCCATGGCGACCCCCATTTGGCCCAAAGGCTCACTAAATATATATTTTGATAATAATTCTATGAAAAAAATTAGAAACTAAAAAATGCCACAAAAGATGATATCTCCTAGTCATCACCCGAAAAACTTGTGTGCAAAAAAATGGCAGAAAAAATGCCACCTCTCAATATTAAAAATGGCATCTTCTTAAAAATAATAAAAAATTCCATCCTCACAAATATTGAAATACCCATCCTATTACAAAATAAAAAATGCTATGCTCTTATAAATAAAAACTGCCACGCTCTATTAAATAAAACGGTCATCCTCTAATAATAAAAATTCCATCCTCTTAAATAATAAAAATGGCATCCGCACAATAATAAAATGCCATCCTGCTATAAAATAAAAAATAACATGCTCATATAAAATAAAACTACTACCCTCTAATAATAAAAATGTCATCCTCTTATAATAAAAAATGTCATCTTCTTATAGTTAAATACAATCCTCTTATAATAAGATATGTCATTCTCTTCTAGTAAAACTGCCTCTCTAGCCCATTGACTAACAGCCCGCTTCAAAAATAGATTTTTGGGTGAATTAAAAAAATGCTTCAAAAATGTCAAGTTATATATAAAAAATCTTTTTACCATGAATGCTCATGAACTATCTCTCTAGCCCATTGACTAACAGCCCGCTTTAGACTTCCCTGCGTGTTGGTTACCCTTTTTGTAAAAAAAAAGAAGCAAAATTAAGTGTTTGCCAGAATCTGCAGACAATGAATGTCTCTAGCCATCTGACGTGGCATTGGCCCTATGTCGAGATCTGTGCGACTACGATGGAGACGTTCGATGGGGACCTAGGGTTGGCCTCCCAGGGAACACTGGTCAGATAACATTTCTGATCATTTTAGGGAAGGAAAATCATTAGTTTGCCAATCATTAGCTTCGCCAAGGCCCAAGTGGTAGAGCACTATCGCCGCTAGTTCAGTCGTAGAGCAGAGAGGAGAGCAGAGGTCGCTGACAAAACCCCTATTCGCGATCGCTGCCCTAATTTTCCCTCCGCACAAGCACCGACTATGTTCTGTCCTCCCAGTGGACAGACATTCTGGATAGGTTTCCGAAGACACCAGTGCCGCAGACATGATGGACCAGTCGCCGCAACTCCAAAGGGATTCAACAACGTTAGGCAATGCTGGCTCTAGGCATGCCCAAATGTTGTTTCACGGAATGCCTGAACAAGACCCAGTACAATCTTTGCCCCCATGACATTTGCATTCATTGATTCATTTGTTGCACATACCATTCTATCAAACTTGTAGGGCAATAGTTTAACCGCGATGCATATTGTAGGACCAAATAATGCTTAACATAATAAATTATGGCCAAGAGCCTTTGCAATTTGACATTGGGATACCAATTTCTCGTTGTTTGAAGTTGGGAAAACATCACACACTAGAAAGAAGAAGGTAGTGAAGCCAAGAGGTTCGGCATTCACACAGTTTGAAGATGTCTTGTTGGTTGAAAGTTGGTTGAATAAATCAAGTCAAGAAGAAGCCATTCAAATGGCCCAATTGTTGGATGAAATTGCGCGGGAAACCAAAGTGGCAAACTGTCATTGAGGACATTGAAAGCGACACCAAGAAGATGAAGAAAAACAATGGGTCTAACTCCAACCAATCAATTGGGTTGGATGGCGAAGATGAAGAAAATGGTAGAACAGACATACAAGCCTCTGTGCCAACAGGTGATTGAAAACAAGTGGGAGAAGGGCAAGATCTCGCGTGATGGCGTGGCAAGCGAAATGTCCATCACTTGGAGGGGCAATTTTCCGCCAAGGAGGTGAAGAAGGAGAGGTACAAGATCCTCATAAATGTGCAAAGGGAGAAGATGAAGTTCGACCTGGAGAGCTTGAACATGGAGAGCGACAAACTAGAATTGGACAGGCAATGCAAGATTGCAAAAATGGGAGCTCGAAAAGATGGAAATATTGATTGCTGAAGAAGAAGATCAACGACCGCAACAATGCTGGTACTTGAATCATTCGTGCATCGCCTATCTATTGTATGAGTTGCTGCATTTTATTTTGGCATGTAATGAACTGTTGAATTGTTGTTTATTTTGTATCATCGAATTGTTGAATTAGTGAGAAATTTATGTTATAATGGATGTATATGGATTAGCATGAATTTGAATATTCACATATGAAAAGTGTGGTTGTACTGGAAGAGAAATAAAAACGCGTTGTCCACGTGCGCGTCCGCTGACATAAGGGGCTCGGATTTATCAAGTTCAACTCCGGTTGTAGATGCTCTGAGGAGGCTTTTACTAGTAGTAGTATTTTTCAACTCTCTCACTAAGGGATTCGAGTGGCTGCCTCTCTCTAGTAGCTTCCGAGTGAGCGGAAGAGAGCTGTAGAGCAGAGCAGAGGCGGATTCAGTTCTGAATACAAGGACTATGTTTCAGTCTGCGTAGAGCTCCAGAGCAAGAAACCCGTGGTGAAGGCCCTCTACGACCTGAAACTGACCAACCAGGCCACCGGGATGCAGTCGCTGAATCTTCTCCCGGACATCGTCCGTTCCCGGCCTTCGAGTCCTCGAAGAACGACCATGTCAAGGGGCCTGGCACGTTCATGAAGAAGGACCTCCTGGAGCCGTCCCCGTACCTGCACTATGACTGCATCCTGATCCAGTGCGATGTGACTGTTCTCCTCAAGAAAATGCCGGCCGTGGTGACCACCACCACAAAGACGCCTCATATCCAGGTGCCGCCGTCGGACAAGGAGAAGCAGTGCATACAGATCGTGGACATGCAGCCCGCCGTCTTCGGAGCATTTCTTCACTTCATATACACAGATTCATTGCCTGACATGGAAGACCTCCTTGACAGCCATGACAAGAGGGAGGTGATGAGGCATCTGCTTGTGGCTGCAGACAGGTATTCCATGAACATGCTCAAGCTGATGTGTGAGGGCATCCTCTGCAAGGGTCTAGATGCCGAGAGTGTCGTCGCCACGTTAGCTCTCGCTGATCAGCATCATTGCAGCAACCTGAGAGACGCTTGCATCGAGTACATCAAGCTCTTCTGTTAGAACAGAGGAAATGTCTGTTCGCCTGACCAGAGAGCATGTATTGATGTCCTTATATATAGCTTCTATATGTATGTATTTATGTGATATGCACTGCTGTATTGCCTTGCCTTGTCCTGTCTTTTAGATCATGTTTATGTGATAAGCACTGCTGTCTTTTATGTTGGCTCGACCTGTATTATATGAATCCATGACAGCTTCTTGTGAATGTGCTGCTATCCTTATCTTCTTTCCTTTTTGTGCTCTTCTTTTTGTTACTCAAATAAATCTGTAATCATTTTTTTGTGAGAAAAATAAATCTGTAACTTAGCTAGGCTAACATCAATCAACAGGTGTTGCAGTACTACAAACAATCTGCTTGACAAAACCTTCCGCCAGATAGGGTTTTATTGGTGGCGACCACGCCTGTATCTATGGATAATTGTACAACGTTGAGACACATTGTACACTCTGTTATTCAGCTATGCTGCAAGGCAGCCTGCCTTACACTAGAAATACACACATGATGTTCCCGACCCAAGTATAGGTATCTCTGAAGGCAGCCCACTACACAATACACATAAGCCACACTGACCCAAGGATGTTTTACAAAGGGCAGCACATCTCGATACTCGAGCGTGGGTACTCAATCCTGATAACGATCAAACGAGGTCTCCTCAATCGGAAACGCCGAACAGACGGCTGGTTTTCTCAGTCTTGAGTTACTGACTGGACAAGTGCAATCACTTGCTCGATGCTCTCAAATTGGCGGCGTCCCTTCAGGATTGCCTTGCCACAATCAAGCGCGCGGCACTCACATGATGCTCTCTTGCTGGCATCCTCGATTGAGTCAAAATCCTCCACATGGGCAATTCCAACAATTCTCCTGCACAGGGAGGAGCAAGTATAGGAGCAAAAGTTGAGTGAATTTTAGGCAGAGTCAGGAATCATGAGATCATGCATAAGGCACAAAAATATGTGCAGAGACTGAAATCAATGTCCAATGTGATTTTTAGTTCTTAACAGGGTACATTTGGTAAGCTATCATGCTTTTTTTTTTCACCGCATAGCATTTCTGAAGCACATTTCATCAAAAAAAATTCTTTTGTGCTGCGATAATTAAATCTGGTCTTTCGGGTCAAATGAATTTTATACTACTCCCTCTGTAACTTAATATAAGGTGTTTTTCAGTGTCAAAAAACGTCTTATATTAAGTTGCAGAGAGAGTAGTTCTTTACATGGTACATTTTGTAAGCTATGTGTGCTTATATGTCACTGCATAGCATTGTGAAGACGGGATGCCATATCGAAACTGAAATCTGAAACCTATGCATTAGACTAACTTAATGCACCTTGAGTCATTTCAGTTAAAGAGAAGCATTGATGTATCACCGTGGTCTAAGAGTAGATTACATTCAACAGATAACCAATATATTCAGAGATTATTTTTTTTGCGGTATATATTCAGAGATTTGGCAAGTACCTGATCATTTTGGCCGAACCAAATCCAAGACTGTCATGAAGTAAACCTGTCATGTACTTCTTCTGTACAACGCTCAAAAGCTCCGGGTTGTTGTATATGGCAGGCAGGTATGCCTCCCCATTCCCATCTTTGTGTTTATTCCAAAGTCCCAGAAATTTCTGCTGGAACAAATTCCATGATTCTTCGATCGTCTTCAATATCCATTGCTTATAAGCCTGCAAAAGATGGGCAGTCCAAGCGCTTATTTTATTACAGGGACAACAAGAAAAATATCTTCAAGGATGTGTTATAGCATGAACTGACACTTCTGCAACTGCCAATACTGAAGATGCCAGGGATGCTTATGGACTTGAAATAAGGCAGGTTATTCCATACAAGGCAATTATTTGAGGTGCTATACTCTTTCAGCCAACCACCCTCCTCTACATGACAGCTACAGGACCTTCATCATCCTCCAGTATCAATTATATATTCTTTTAGTAGAGAGGGACATCATATTTAAGCTGGTATATGCCTTCTTTCAAAAAAGCAATATTCCAAACATTTATTCTAATAAAGAATTTCTAAATAAATAGTAAATGGTGGATAAGGTAATCAGTAATCACTCAGGAGCGCATTAAAGAAACATAGTACTCCCTCCGTCCGAAAATACTTGTCATCAAAATGGTCAAAAAGGGTTGTATCTAGAACTAAAATACATCTAGATACATCCCCTTTTATTCATTTTGATGACAAGTATTTCTGGACGGAGGGAGTATTAGTTAACATAAAAGGCCTACCGTAAAAACAGCATGTCATACTCTACTATATTAAAGTAAAAATAGGTGCCAGCAAGACAAGGTTAAAACTTAAGGCCATAATACTGTTATACATACCTTACGGTCATTTGCTTCATCAGCATGCCCATCCTGTGCGAAGTAGGCCAGAATCAGGTTCCCCAAGAAGGCCCCAATGTCGTAACCCATCGGCGCGTAGAAGGCAAACTCCGGATCAATCACTTGAGTGGAATCTGGGGTCACCATGATGGAACCAGTATGGAGATCACCATGAATCAGAGCCTGGGCTCTCTCAATAAACCTGCAGTGTAAAATTCAGATAAGAAACACAACATACGCAGCACCAACGAATCTGCATAAATTCGGAGCTAGCCGATTACATGGACTTCAGTTCACCAATCTCCAATTTCAGCCCATCATCCTCCCGAACCGCTTCGGCGTCTTTGTCTAGAAGAGGCGAGTTCCAGCGATTGTATTTGGAGACCATGTATGGGTCCGAGAAGACGACCTGCTCCGTGAGCCTGCACATCTCCACGTTCTCACAGTAGCGAGCAACTGCAATTCACATCAAGACACGCCATGAATTTCACCTCTTTCCCCCTTTTACAGGCAGAAGAAAATTCAGAGGAGCAGAGCAGAGCAGCCCCGACCTTGCTTCTTGTGGTCGGTGGTGGAGTTGTAGAGGAGGGAGGTGAAGAAGAGGGTCTTGGCCATGTAGTCGGCCATGTGGTCGGCGAGGAGCGGGTACTGGACGCCGGCGATGAGGCCCTTGCGGAGGATGATGTGGGGCGGCCTGATGTAGCGCATGCCGATGAGCGACATGGCGCGGTCGAAGTGGTAGACCTCCGGGACGTGGTCCGGGCAGAGGCGGCCGTGCTCCCGCAGCGCCGACGCCTCGAAGTAGGCCCGCTCCCTCGTCATCGGCCACGAGTCCCCCACGCAGCGGATGTACGGCAGCGCCTGATCCGATCCATCCAGAACGCGTCAGTCAGGGGACGGGGAGGGAGGGGGGAGAGGGGGACGGGGGACGGACCTGCTTGACGACGACGGAGCCGGCGTCGGAGGTAACGATGTAGACGAAGTTGAGGTTGCCGTCGCCGACCTCCTTGACGGCGAGGCCGTCGACGCGGCCGCCGAGGCTGGCGGCCAGCGCCGGGGTCGCCCGGATGTAGGCCACCAGCGACGCCTCGTCCAGCGGACGGAAGCCCTGCTCCTCGTCGCCGGCGGCCATGGCGGGCGAGCTGGATCGGGGGGGACTGAGGGAGTGGGGAGTCGCCGGGGTTTACGCTGTCGCGGCGGGTGTGTGGGTGCGGGAACAGAGACGCTGCCGCTCTGTATTAATAGTGCGTGCTCTGCACCTGGACGGGTATCTGGCAATAGTGACCACTTGCGTTGGATTGGGATGATTAGGATGAGGATTCCCGTTGACTAGGAGAGCTATTGAGAGCAGCCGCGTCCTGACTCTGGGCCCATACATTTTCTGATGAGGAACATATAAACTTCTTGGTACAATTTTATTCCGAGGAAAGCAACCCTATACACATACTTTCTCCACAAATGTACCTTCTCTTTGCCCCGCTCCGATGGATAGAACATGAGCGTCTCGAATTTCCTTGTTTTCACTAATTTACAAGTCTTGTGGCTCGGGAAAAGGAGAACGAAGAGCTTCTAAGGGCATGAATTCCATTGCTTCATTGATTTTGAGGAGAGAGGACTGGCGTGGTTTGGAGGGCGTTGGTTCAAGGACAATAGATGCGGAGAAAAGGACAGAATCTTCACGAGATACGCAATGACAACAGCAGTGATGAGTAGGTGCCCAATAGCTTGGTATCTAGGCAATGCAAAACGATGTACTTTGTGGGGTTGTTTAGTATGCTATACCCGTCTCCACGTGGAGAGACAATCGTTGCAATCTCATGGAAAGAGGTGAGCAATGCAGCACCAGTAGCAAGTTGGATGGCACTGCTAACGCAGCAAGGGAAGAAGGCAATTCCTTTTTTTTCTTTGTTTGCCTCCAATATCTCAAAGCTCACAAGTACGTTGAACGGAAGAGGGAAATAGATGTAAGCCCGACATTACACAATGGAAAGGACTATCTCTCTCGACCTAGAGGCAAGTTCTCAAAACGTACATATATATAGGATGGGGGTGTCATTCTAGATGTGTGAGTTTAGCATTCATTCATGTAGTATGTTTTTTGGGTGGTCATTGATAGAGTGTGAATATAAACTACAGTCTGCAGTCTAAAGCTAACAAATGTTATATGTGTTTGGTGTTGGTTGTGACGTAGTGAGAAATGCATGTGAAAAATGTGATGAAACACATGTAGTCATAGAACTCGAATCACACTTCAGTTTCCAACCGTCAAACACTTGCTAAGTCTATTGGAATGTCAATTATTTTATTTAAAATTTGAGGGGGAAAAAAGACTGGCAACTACCTTAACAAACAGGAAGGGATGTTAACCAATTCAGAAAAATGACTCCCCAGTCTTAAGAAATCCTCTATAACACTATGCTTCCTAGTTTTAAAGAACCTATATTCAATTGAGGTCACCAATTGAAGTTGAGTCACCCGATTTTAACTAGGTCAACAATTTCGCAAAGTCCTCTCATTCAATATTTTAAACTATAAACTGTGCTTTCTAGTTTTAAAGAACCTATATTCAATTTTGAGGTCTCCAATTGGAGTTGAGTCACCCAATTCTAACCGGGTCAACAATTTTGCAAAGCCATCTCATTCAATAGTTTTAAACTATAAATTGCGATTCCTAGTTTTAAAGAACCTATATTCAATTGAGGTCTCCAATTGGAGTTGAGTCACCCGATTTTAACCGGGTCAACTATTTCGCAAAGCCCTCTCATTCAATATTTTTAACTATAAATTATGCTTCCTAGTTTTTAAGACCTCACAATTAGTTCGGGTCTTTAATTTAGAATTTGGTCACCCTATTTTGACTAGGTCAATGATTTCTCTAAACTTTCAATTTTGTACTATACACTATGTTTCCAAATATTCAAGGCCTCGCAATTAACTGAGCTCTTCAATTTAGAATTTGGTAACTCGATTTTGACTGGGTCAACAATTTCTCAAGGAGCTCCCCCATTTGATTATTTTAATTCACCATGTTCCTAAATTTTGAGACTCTTTCATTCAATTGAGGTATTCAATTTTAAATTTTAGTATTAAATTAAATATCTTGAATAAAAAAGGAAATTAGCACATTAATCATAATCTTCAAAAGTAATCTCAAAGCATGCCCTGCCAGAACGAGCTGAACTTAATCAAAAGGACAAGGTCCATAAAATAAAACATGCATCGCTTATTTTTGTCCATCAGGTCAAATATCACGAACACCACCTGCAAACATCAATGTAGAATTGGACTGAGGGACTGAGGAGTCGCCGGGGACGCTGGAGTTTACGGTGTCGCGGAGGGTGTGTGCGTGAGAGAACGAAGACGCTGCCGCTCTGTATTAATAGTGTGTTTACTGTACCTGGATGGGTATTTGACAATAGTGACCACTTGCGTTGGATTGGGATCAGGATTCCCGTTGACTAGGAGAGCTCCGAGAGCAATCACACCGTGACTCTGGGCCATACATTTTTCTGATGAAGAACATATGAACTGTCTCTAGTAGTACTAGTAGAATTTTATTTGAGGTAAAGCAACCCAATACATTTTCTTCTGAAAGTTTTAGTCCAAATGTACTTCTGCTTCCTCCACTCCAAGGGATAGAACATGAGCGTCCCAATTTCCCTTTTTTCACTACTTTACAAATCTTATGCCACGCAAGAAAGAAAATGAAGAGCTTCTGAGGGCATGAATTCCATTGTTCCATTAATTTTGAGAGATGCGGAATAATGCTGATTGGAGGGTGATGGGTTAAGAACAACAGAATCGGAGAAATTGGGTGAATCTTCACGAGATACGCAATAACAATAGCGGCAATGAGGACCCGGCGGATTGCTTGGTAACTAGGTAATGCAAAACGTTGTACTTCATAGGGTTCTCTAGTATGCTATTCTCATCTTCCAACGAAGAGACAATCGCCGCAATCTCATAGAAAGGCTTTGGCGATGTAGCACAAGTAACGAGCTGGTTGTCATGGCTAACGAAAGATGAAGTGAAGGCAAATCCTTCTTTTTCTTTGTTTTCCTCCAATATCTCAAAGCTCACCGGTACATTGAACAAAAGAGGGAGATATATGTAAGCGCGGCATTGCACAATGGCAAGGACAATCTCTCTCGATCTACATGTAATGCAAGTTCCTCAAAACGTACATATATATATAGGATGGGGGTGTCATTCTAGAAGTGTGAGTTTAGCATTCATTCATGTAGTATGTTCTTTGGGTGGTAACTGAAAAAATGCGAATATAAACTACAGTTGAACACTAACAAATGTTATGTGTGTTTGGTGTTAGTTGTGATATAGCAAGAAATGCATGTGAAAATGTGTGACGGAACACATGTAGTCATAAAACTTGAATCACACTTCAATCAAACCTTTACTCAGTCTATCAGTACTCGTGCAATGCCGATTATTCTATTTAAAATTTGAGAAAAAAATTATTAGCAACTTTCTTAAGAAATGTTGACAAATTCAGAGGAGGAGGAGGGGAAGGGGATAGTGCCATATGATGGGAATTTTGGCTGGTCTCATGCCATAGATAATTCTCACTGAGCATATCAAATGAAATTCACTTTATAACCGAGACATGGAAACTAAAAGTATCCAATAGCTAGGTCTATTGTGCTAGCTGCCTTCAAGAACTCCCAGTCTACCAAATCAATAAATCTCATTGAACGTATGAAATGAAATTCACTTTATAACCGAGACATGGAAACTAAAAGCATCCAATAGCTAGGTGTATTGTCCTAGCTGCCTTGAAGAACTCCCACGTCTACCAAATAGGGCTGCAAATGAGTCGAGTTCGAGCGAGTTGGCCTAGGCTCAGCTCAACTCATAATAAAATTCGAGCGATCTTAAAATGTGCGAAGCTCAAGGTCAAGCTGCAGAAAGTGGCTCGTGCTCAGCTTGTAACGATCTTGAGTTGATCTCGAGCTAGTTTCGAGCTAAAATAAGATGATTTTTAAAAGTATTTTAAGGAAAATTTTAAAGCAAGATAGGCCACAACACAACAAAAAAATCTCTATAAATTTGACTTATTCTTTCTCAAGTGAAGACTAGTATTTAATAACAAGAAATCATGGATAGAAGGCGATGAAGGTGCGCCAGCTCTCAAACATTGACCAAAATAACAAAGTATTGAACACACGGTTGCCCACGTGATGAGAATAAATTTTCTCCATGCTTAATTTCCATGTTTGCTACTAGGTAAAGTGAAGATAAAAATCGTATAGAAGATATACGGAAATAAATGATACTAATTCTTGGCAATAGATATGAAGGTTATTTAATATACTTATATGATATCGAGCTATCGAGCTAAAATCGAGCGAGCCAATGTTGGCTCAAGATCGGCTCGTTTCTTAATCGAGCTACATAAAGTGTTCATACTCTGCTCATTTCTTTTCGACTCGATCTCGAGTCGAGCTAAAATAAGAGTCGATCTCGAGCGGCTCACGAGCCTCGAGCTTTTCTTGAAGCCCTACTACCAAATCAACATGTTACCATCCAAATCACCTTCGGTGGATGAAGAGACCAAGGATATGTTTGGTTGGTGGCCACATGTGCCTCGCCAAAATTTGGCATCCTATGGTATTATAGACCATGCATGGTCGTTGGCAAATATTTTTTCGAAAAACATAGTACAGATGAGGACGCTCACAACATGCATGCACACTCACTTCTATGAGCACACGCACACAAATCCTATCCCTTTGATGGAGCACCTCTGAGAGCCTGAGCCGACAGATCTTGAGATAGACAAAGTCGCATAGTCTATTAAAAGTCGC